CATAGGGCTGCCATTGCATGGAATTCACTTCCTGATTCGATCAAAAAGTCTTCTGGCTTAGAATGTTTTAAAAAAAGACTTAGATCTAGTAAGTACTTAATTAATTCTATAAGTTATAATAAGGAATCTTCCATGATAAGAAATAGGAATGAGGAATTTCTTTATTAATCTTATCTTAATCTAATCATATCTGAATTTTAAAATTTTAATAATTATTTCATCTAGTTCTTAACTATATTTTTAATTGTAGTCCATAGTCCTATATATTTATATTATTATTATTTATTATTCAATTTCTGTTGATTTTCTATTTATTCACATGTATATACATTGGTTTTTAAATAGTAGATAGGCAGGTCCACATCAGGACTTCAGTCTTGCGTACTCTGTAACCTGCGTTATCAAATAAACTATGAATGAATGAATGAATGAATGAAGTAAGGTCCGTTTGCGCGAAAAAACATCACCGCGTCTAACCGAGCTGGACGCCTCAAAACCTGACATTGCGCATGCAGCTCTTGATGTCTTTCTTAGTTTCACTTCGAACCAAAATCCATAAGGCCATCCTAGGCTTCTGTTTGCGATTTCACGTTCTCTCGAGTATCCAATCCGAAAAAGAACGAATTTCACACCGAAAATTGGTTAATTACCCAAAGAGGGACTTACGGAGACAGTGGAGTAGCTCGCGCATGCTAGCTAAGTAAACAATTAACAGCTGACCAATTTGAATCTCCCGCGAATCTGCATTCCTTACCCAAACTTGGTTTACGAGGAAATTGACTGGTTGATTGGCTTAGGTTAAAGGAATTTTCGTTTCCATTCCTGCTATGACACTACTTGAAATCGAGAGTAATTAAAGTAAGAAATGTTTTGTGTAGCCACACGAACATGGAATGGTCTAACCAGAATCGCTCGACAGATATCAGTCGAAGGTGAACATTCTGTGACGGCTTCCAGGATTGGGTTGCAAGGCGCTGTAAATTTGGTTTGTTTATATCACAGAATACATCTCAGCGAAGATGACTTGGAAGAAAAGTTCATCAAGGGCTGGGGACCAGGAGGTCAGAAAGTCAACAAAAGTAGTAACTGTGTTCAACTTCTCCACAAGCCCACTGGTATCACGATAAAGGTAAGACTAATTTTTTACTGGTGATTGTGACAAGTTATCCTATGAGCCTTAGTGGGGAATATTGGACGACACTTGCTCATCTGATTTACTCATTCATTAAAGCAGAATAGGACATTTCCCCCTCTTTCCCTTGCTAATTTTGAATCATACCCCAAAGTATTGTGTAAAAAAAAACCTGTGTTTGCTGGTATTGATCCAGTTTTTGAAGTTTGCATTCATACACATGGAATTTGGACCTCTATCTTTAGTGTTAGCTCTTTCCTCATTTATACAATAGACTTGTTGTTGGATGGGAAAAAACTACAAATTGCATCATAAAACAAGTTTTACTTTAATACTGGGAAAATATGGCATGACAGCCTCTTATTATTGGTGACAATTATCATCCAAATAAAAGTGACGCTTCTAAAATTGTTATTCACAATCTATAGATGCTGATGATAACAGTTGGACAGCAAAATTCAAGTGTAGCTCAAAAAGAATGAAATGCAAATTCATGTAAATGATAAATGAACAAAAATTGTTTATTTAAATTTAACACCCTTTAAGACTATGCTCTCTGAAATAGGTACCACGATATTATCACCCTGAATTCAAAACATACTACAAGGTGTTGTCGAAGGAGATACCCTTTTGCTTAAAACAAGGTTATATTCTGAAGTATCAACATTAAAAATATCAGCAATTAAAAAAATGAAATATACAAATGAAATGATAGTTAATAGCAGTATCAGCACATATATCATCTGATCTGATCATTATCTGCAGGCTAAACCAAAATTGCAACTAAAGAAAAAACTGAACACTGTTGTACAATTAAAAAATTGCCCATGAAATGGCTTCATGATCATTTTCAAAGGAAGTGAAACATGGTTGGAGGCTTAAACCAAACTATAAAATACATATTTGTGCAGTTAAACACCAAGTTGGTCTCAAGTAATATCTTTTATCCCTTTCCTCCCAAACATCAATATGCATATTCTTCATACAACTCCCTAGACATTTCGTAGCATTCTGACAAGGAGAATTTGTTCAACAATCACGAGCTTCTTTAGTTGGTGATCATCTCCTTTATTCTTATGACCTTAACATTTGATTCAGGGGTGATATTGTAAGGAGAAATTAGATGTTAGTCACTCTTAGGGGTTAAAGGGTTATTATCCAACTGCACAAAATACTGAGTACAAATAATGCATGAATAGAGTACAAGTATCCTGCAATACTGTAGGGTTATTTGGTTATTTGGTTATGTTGTACTTAAAAAAAACCTGTCTATTTAGTTGACTGTGCATGCTATGTTTCTCTGTCCACTTTGCTTTTCCCACCTTATGAGAAATGAACAGAAAGACTTCACAGAAGCAGTTGGATAATAAATAACTTGTCAGACATTCTGGTGTATAGTATTGCTGAGTATTTTTACAAGTTGCACCACATTTTGATGAGTCAAAATAGGCCACAACTCATTAAAATACTCAGCAGTACTGCTCACCAAAACTTGTAATAAGATATATTTATGTGTGGCTTTTAACAGTACTAACAAGGAGAATTGACTACTACTGGCTTGTTAGCTGATTTAAAAAATGACAAAAATAGCTGTACTTGTGATAAGTGTGCCACTTGTAAAAGTTTTCCAACATGGTCTTGCAAGGGTCTTAGTTTCCATAGATGTAACTGCAATGGAGTTGGATTCTTGTGGAATCATATATGTTTTCATTGGTGATTGCATAGCATGGTGTAACAAACATTTTATGTGGATTCAGGGCTATGTCATTTTTTTGTTAATCTACTAATCTTTGGGAAAAAAAAGAAACCTTAAATTAGCACTGAAAGGTGATGATGATTGTTCATTTTTATTTCAGTGCCATGAGAGTCGCTTACTTGCAAGAAACAGAGTGATTGCTAGAGAAATTCTGAAAGAAAAACTTGACTTGCTTTATAATGAGAAGGACAGTGTTGTTGCAAAAAATATTGCAAAGATAAGGAAAAGGAAAGCACAATATGCGAGGAAGAGAAGACAACAAGGAGAAGCCTATGCCAAAGGTTCACAAAACATAGATCCTGGACCATCAGATTTGGACAAAGGATGAAAAGTAGTATATTCATCCAGAAACCAACGGCAAGGGCTTCACCGAGGATTTACAGAATAAAACTACCAATAATTACCCTTTTTAATCTTGGTGGAAAAGCTTAAGTTTCACCTCGAGGAATTGACTCTCTTCTACAGTACTTGTCTAGCAGGTCCTGCTATAGTGTAAGAAAAAATTAACATCAGAACAGCTTCATACTAAGGTGAACCTTGTAGGCCTGTAGGAAGGAAGTTGCCAAAGGTGCACATGCATCCCCTTAAGGGCTGCAAGAGTCTTTCTACAAGATACTAGTGATTCAAAAGAAAGTGAGCTATTTTAAAAAAACTGAATGCAAAGTAACTGTAGTATTCACATTCTGACTTGCTTACTGTGTATTTTGAAATGAAAACTAATTAAATGAACCATTTTAATTTTAATTTTAAGACACATGAAATTCAGTCCTAGACAGCCCAAAATTTTCAAGATTATGCAGTGTTTGCCTGAGACAAGTTCTAGTAAATTGCAAAACGATTGCAACCTGACTTCTCAGTCTGTTACAGGATCAAGTGACCTGTCAGGGTACCCTTTTTGTTGTGCTGGTTCTTTAAAAGCACATATTTGAAAAGTTAGTCAAAAATATTGTTGGAGATAAGGAGGGTGGGTTTTCCATGTTGAAGTTTGTGGTTCAGTATAACCAATCAACGGATCTGTCTTTATTGCATAACATACAATATAAAATGCAGTCAACTTAGCATTATTTTGAAATACTGCAATTTTCCAAAAACAAGGAAAATCTGGAAAACATAGAAAACCTGTTGGCCTCTGTTAAAGGAACATGTTCATACCTGGGACACAAGCCTAGTTCTTGTGATTGAAAAATTATCTGTATCTGTTATCACAATAAAAGACACTCTTCTATAGGCAAATGGTATGTTTTATTTTGACAATTCTGGTTGGCATGGCAAAGAGTGAAAAATGTGCTATTGAAAATGTGCAGCGACACTACAATTAAACTTGCTGCAACTTATTGCATTTGTACAGCAATAACAATGTATAATCAAAGGTTCTACTGTACATTACACGATCTCCACATCATTTTTCCTCATACATCCAAAAAAACCTCCTATGAGTGTGACCAAGACAGAATTTCTCCTTACAGTATCAATACAATGTTATCAATACAATATCAAGTAGACAAGTGATGAGAATAATGGTTATATCTATTGGGGATAACTAGTTGGTGAGATACAAAATCAACAAAACCGTCATTGTAGGAATGGTATGCCAGACAGCAAGGAGAATTACCATTGAGATCTTGGGAGTAACAGGGTTAAGGTGTGTCAACTCAAAAGAACAAAGCTAGGGGAGGTTGTTTTATAGTCATTTTATGGTTACTTCATGGTATTTCTCTTGCAAGAGTTAGGAAATGAACAATTTCCTAATCAGAAATGAGTCATCAAATTACATCTGTTACTTGATCTACATTAGCTAAACATTTGAAAGGAATACTTTCGTAAGTATTGTTGCCATGAAAATCAGAAAAACTTCCTCTGGTACATCATATAGTTTAAAATTGGCAGCAAACCATTCAACACACCATTGAATACTGGCAATTAATACATGTACATCTCTAACAATAAATAAAGGTGTCCTTCATATTGGATTGATTACTTTTATTTGCAAATCAATTGTAATTATAAATACTATATCAATATTAGTTATATTTACTGAGTATACAATAGGTTTGAACCTCACAGCTCTAATTATACATAGTCCTTCTACTGATATTCAATAGCACTTCACTGTTTTTTTTATTTCTTGTTGTTGTTGTTGTTGTTTTTTTTCTTTTAAGTAATGTATGTTAAAGGAGAGGTTTGCTGCAGATATCATAATTTCCATCTCTGCCATTCAATACTCGTTGCTTTTTAGGACCTCTTTCAGATCACTGACCTTTAAAAAAAAGTTTTCTCATGTACTAACAATTAAGCTTCCAATGCCACCATTTTAAAAACAGCTCAGTAACCTGGCTGCATATGAATGATGTCTTAAAATTCAATTCAGATGGCAGGATCCAAAACTTGTGCTTCTCAAACAGTTCTTGCTTCATTATCCACCTCTATGTCCTCATTCAGCCTGAGCTCATGTTCAAATTGATTCCATGTTGCAAAGTAAAGGTTTATTATTTCATATGTTAGCAGCCAAGTTGCAGAACAAAGTTCAAAGTGGTGACATCCCTGGACAAACTTTTAACACCTTTTACAACAATTTTCTAAAGGTTTAAGCTTACTATTAAAAAAAATGAATAAAAACAGCAGCAAGAGAAAAATTTCTTTACAATTTTTCATTGCAGAGAGGAAAGTTATATGCTTTCTGGAGCATACTTCTCTATCACAATATCATCTACATGATTGTATAGTTCTCTTTAGCTCCCAGGGTGAAAAAGTTTGGACTTCAGAGATTGAAAAATGCATTTTTGAATCAGAGAATTTTGCTAATTGCTTGATGCATCATACTTCTTCTCCAGTTACAGCTTTTCATGGCCACAACTTCCAGCTTTCTTGAAATGTTACTTCATAACAGACATTTATTCTTGACAAGAGCTGACCTGGTCATTGGTGCTACTGTCTTGCACATCTGTCAGTTTCCACGAGGCATTCCCTAACCAGCACCCTAGCATGCATAATACCTAGGGAAACCATGAGAACAGATAACTTGTAGAAGTAAAAAATTTGCATTGGGAGAGGTGGGGTCAAGGGTTTGAAATTCATAGTCAAATAAAGGTAACCAGATATTTCACACAAAAGACTTTTCGCACAAGTCCTTTAGCACAAGTTTTGGACCGTTCGCACAATTCTTAGTGGTCATTTTGCACAATAATTATAAGTGAGAAACTGCTCGTGAACACGATCACTATTCTTACTTGAAGAAAGGAGAGGTACAAATCTCTCTCTCTATGAAAATGTAAAGAACTCCCTATTCGAACGACTACTTCTATAAATTTTCCTTTGTTGAATGAAGAACCCTTTAGTTTTGATTGTATCATCCACTACAAACATGCAAACATGACAACCCACGCTAAGGACATTTAGAACTGTAGGAATCTATCATTTCAGTTGTACCCACTGATAACTTTCTGTTGTTTGAATGCCTACAGTTTCAGTAAACATACAGTAATAGCTTCCTTAATTAATAATGGTAATACAACCAAGTGGAATCCAATTTGGTCTGTAATCATATAGGTGAAAAACAAAATCAGACAACTGCAAAGCAGGAGTCTGATTTGTTAATCATGAGTTTGATTGCAGTTAGAATTAGATGACGCAAAGCTACAAAGTCTTGTTACCAATTAATCAAAATTATGACAAAATTTGGGAAGAAACTAGACATCCATTTTACATTTTCATTCAAATAAAAAAACAACAGTTAACTCAGTGAAACGCAAGACAACAGTGCATGTGCATGATGTGTTCTGATTGTGCTAATCTTCCCTTTAACTATTTTATTACCATTATCAATTATGAGCATGATGCGTGCACTGTCCTATTGGTGCTCAAATCGGGCTGGTGGTAACCAATCATGTTCAAGAATTTTGTTTTAGTTTTGATTAATAGTGGTTTATAGGACCGAGTGGAGTTCAATTTAGTCTGTAATCATACAAGGGATTAACAAAATTGGATGACCATTAAGTGGGAGTCCGATTTGTTTATCATGAATATGATTACAGACAGAATTGGACAAGAAGTCCTGTTGCCAATTAATCATAACCATTTCAATTTCCGAAAAAACAAATACATCTGGAACAAATATCCCCAGTGGAGACAATGTCTTAATTTGAAAATTCCTCCTCTTTGTAAATTCCCTAGTTTTTCTATGGATAAGTGGTTGTTGCTATGATTGTTGTAATCAATTCTGTGATTGGTGGATTTAACTGAGTGGACTTAGTATGGTTGGCTGCTTCCACTGCCTGATAACACAGTCTGGTAACAGCTGTGCAGAACAATTAGTGGAAAATGAAGTTGCGAATGCACCATAAACATTTGAGGACTTTCCAAGGTTTTGATTACGGAGATAAACAAGAAATCTTTCATATTATGCAAAGGGTAATTGCCAACAAGGAAAAAATTTTCTTAAGTAGCTTTTGTCTTACCCTTCTTTAAACGTTCAGCGGCGTTTTTACTGCCAGCGTAGGTAGGACGAATATCTTTTCCTAATTCTTCGATCACTGCTAAAAGCTCTGCGTATTTTCCAGGAGAATTTTGGCTGGAATTAGTGGTGCTCTGCGGATTGGCAGTCGAAGAACTCGCTCCTTATTGACAAAAGAAAGAAAAGGTTAAAAGAAATTGAGAGATAGAGGAATGTTCCATGACATTTTTCTATGATAAAATTTTACCTTGTGCAGGTTGTGGCATTTTACTCTCCATTCTAACCAGGAAGAGTTTCAACTGAGTACAGTACCAAGCTTTCGGATTAGATATGGCGTCGTTTCACTCGCTTTCGGAAAATTCTAAAACTTCAGGGAATGCCGGGACTAACCGTGTGAGCTGAACAAGAGACTGGGGCTAGTAACATGGAGTCTTAAATTTTGTTCACTTGTAGCTTACATCATCCTCCCATCCTCGGAGACCCAGGGGCTGAGTCGATTTCAGCTCTCCCTCCCTGACTTGAAATCAACTCACAGCTCCTGAGTCTCCGAGAATGAGCTTACACTTGTAAAATACCAGCAGTGAGAGAGGATTGCCGTCCTGAGTTTAGGTAATTCCTAAGTATAGCACGGCGCATCCTCTGACGCGCATCAAAATCAAGTAATCAGGCGAATAAGCACGCGCGCCTTCCGAGAACACGGTATTGTTTTCGATCATCAATGGACCAGGCAGAGAGGAACGATTGTCTTTAGCTCTTGAATAAGCACGGTGACCTACACTTCTTTTTTTTGGCATAATTTTAGTGAACAATTTATTCCCTTTAAATTGAGGAAATTATTCGAAGGGAAAAAAAGATAAAGCTAAAAGCGTGCACGAAGCCCGTTACTAGAGAATACAAATTATCACCTTGAAAGAAACGACCAGAGGAACGTTTTGAGTTCAACCACGTTTTGAGTTGATATCATTAGTATTTGCATGATTTTCCCAAAAAATTATATTTCAAGTTGTTCCACACGTTCGAGACCTTCTATCTATCAAGTTTTTTTCAAATGTTTCTTTAAAAACCCTTGTTTCCAGCTGCAGCAAAATGTACCATGAACCAATGAAATGACGCGCGTGATTAATGCCAGTAAAAGCATAAATGGGTTAAGTTTGGCCCATTATATCTCCTAACCAGGCACGGTAACGTATCTTTTTTATTTTATTTTTCGACACAGACATTGATAAGGAACATTTAAGGAAAGTTTAAAAAAATTGTTCGACAACTCTTTTTTTCTGAAGAATCACCTTAAGCTAGTAATAGTTCTCTCTAAAACCAATTTGACGTTCTAAGGACAATATATGCAAACTTCAATTACAGCACTATTAAACCGCCTTACAACCTTACAGAAAGGAAACGTTAACGTTACACACTGAACCATAGTGAAACTTTTATAAAATGATAAACTAATGAGCAGCGCTGCACAGCTGCACGAGTTGAAATGTTGAAATTTTTGTTATTCTCCTACGCGTTTCGTCGGAAAATAGTAGACTTCGTTGGGGAGTTTTTACAAGTAGGGAGAATAAGCTTGTCTATAATTAATCAAATATTCTTCCTCGTGAGGGGTTGTTCTAAACCAATCACGTGATCGAATATGCCTCATCTAAAACTGGGGAATATCCGAGAACATAATGTTGGAAAGTTAGTAAATTAAGACTGAACCTGTATTAAGTGGCACCCTGTTAAGCGGTCACCCTTTAATGAGCGGTCTGTTTTCAAAGTTTTTTTAAATAATACTCTGCCATTCCCATGCTTGATACAGGTTTGACTGACCATCAACACTCCGCCGATAGCTTCGCCATCTCAAGCCCTCAGAGATCAAAAAGGCAATTTTATTTAGCGATTGAGCGTTTATGTCACTAGAACACGTTGCCTTGTAGCCGAGGCAAGGAGCGGGAAATGTTGTTGATATTCTCACAGGTATAAGCAAAGCTGCTGGAATATATCTCCCATTCAAGGAACAAGGATGCATGCATCAATGTATGCATCGAATTGGGACCAATTCGAACGAAGAAATCTGTCAGATTTTAATCCCGTTGTGCTTATCAGGAATCAGCCCGACACTCTCTCAATCTTGAATTGCATTCTGACGTCCCTGGTACACAATTTATTCTATCAACAGGTATCTGACCGACAACCCACAATCATTTTCAACTGTGCCAACTGCGTATTTTAACATTTTCGGACTTCGAGGAGTTCGTGGAAGCATAATGTCTGCCCTTCTTGACAGGTGGGAAGGAAATGTGCGCTGTAGAGAGGCGTATACTCGAGCTCTCCCCAACATTCCAACGGCAGCTACTGCTGATCAGAACAGAAGGCTCTGAGCTATTAAGAAAAGTAGAGGCCTTTACGCACGATGGAGGATTTTCCTTGTCTTTATGTTAACATCGGATTGTCGGTTAATCTTTGAAACCGTTAAGAGTGGCTGCTATGTCTGACCACCACGAACAAATATGTCCAGATATGGAAGTGGACAGCAACAGATTACAAGTCAAATATAAGAGGCAAAAATTCATGAAATATTTTCTCATTTCATATCCAGAACATTGAAGACGCGGTTGTTTTCGACCCTTGATCCCCGCACAACATTTCAACAAGGCAACGAACAATTCGAATCTGGCACATTGTTGACACGATGTCTAATCTGAGAAATGATGTAAAGCCAGTAGGTCCAACTGAAGTATCTCACTGACATGTACCCCATAGACATGTAAGTACTATAAAGTTCCTTCGTTAATTTCTTTTGACAAAAAGTTGGATTACGTGCGCCCCTGATGTTTGTCACTGATCAACTACTGCGTGTACTCGAGAGTACTCCAAATATGGTTGCGGAAAAAGTTCTCGAAAAGGGCTCAATTTGCGCTATTCAGAGATTCTTTCCTGGTTCAGTTTTGAGCGATACTCTTTAAAAAATTATTTCATTTTAAGTTAACTAAACAAAGATGTGGTGTACGTTAATTGGATGAAAAGGACGAAATGCGGTTGGTTACATGGACATTTCGATTCAGTTATTTGACGTCAGCAAGGAGAAGGAAATCAGTTGCCCAGAAATGTTATTAGTGTTTTCGGAAGTCAAGTGATGGCTTTCAATGGTCATTTAAGAATTATGATCAGAAGTAGTAGCTTAATTAAGATACTGGGCCTTTAAATACTCTTATTTTTGTACTTTTTCAAAAGCAGGGAAAGTTGAAAATAGTTCGTTGCCCTTGTTCTTGTTCTTAAATTTTAAAAAAATTTAGGAAATAGGGAATTTCCGGAGGGAACCCCATATCTCCGAGGGAATTAAATAAAAAGCGGGATGTAAGTGATTGACACGGATTACCGAAAGCCAACTCGAATGATTGATGAAACATATACCGCGACATAGTTTGCTTCAGGTTATTCCATACGAAACTTCAGTAGTGTTAAAAGCTTTCTTCTCATTTTTGAGCTGGACGAGGAGCATGGGGAAAGGTTCAGGCTGTCAACTGTTATGAGAGGAAAACTTTTATCCGGTAAATGAAGATCAAAGATTTGCTCCTATTGATAACAGAGTAAACATGGGTGCGCTTTTGTGTGTACCTATGAATGGATTTTCACTGATCATGACTTTTTTCAAGGTTTGGTGGCTCCCAAAGGTTGGTTTTGTAAATTTGGAAGGTTAATGTCTCTTCTTCTCGACCTTCTTTAATAGCAGCACGTTTCGTATGTTAAGAAGAACACTACCCTGAGCTATCGTTACACCAGCTAGAAGTTTTTTCAGTCCTTCGTCGTTTCGGACGGCCAAATGTAGATGTCTAGGGATGATTCTGGTCGTCTTATTGCCACGAGCGGCGTTTCCGGCTAACCGTCGAATATCTGCAGTTACGTACATCATTCTTGCTATATAAGTGATAATGGTATTCACAAGTCGGCATTTCGCCTGACTTTCTTACCCATATGTTTCCCGTGAGGTCAAGCCAAACATCACAGGATTTCAGCATTTGTCAAGAGCCGACATATCGTCTGTAACTGGTACATTCTCCACTTTCGAAAGATTGATTGCAAAGAAAAAGGCAACAACAGTAACAAGGAAAGCAAATCATATCTGGGCGTGGTAAAGGAGGTTAGGAAAAGGAGGCACCAAGCCTCATCAAAATATTCCACAAGACAACATCCAGGGAATCAGCAATCCGACGTCGGCATTTCTGGTCTTATTTACGAAGAGAACCGCGGAGTGCCTAAAGTTTTCTTGATAAACGTTATCTGTGATGCTGTGACCTACATCGTTTTTGTCGTTGTCATTGTCAGTGTCACTATATAGGTTTCTTTAATATTCAGTGTATGAGATAGTCACTGTCCTTATTCAACAGCACTCCCACTCCCACTGTCACTGTTCCTGTGTTTTATTGTCACTTCTCTCTCACTGTCACTACGGCTGTCACTTAGACTGTTACCCTCTCTGTCTCTGTTCTGTCTCTGTGACTGACATAATCACTGTCAGTGTCAGTTTGGGTGTCACTTTCATTATCTCTGTCGCAATCAATTTTATTGACACTATCACTTTCTGTGTCGCTAATTGTCGGTGTTGTCTTTTTCCCAGTCTCCGTCAGTTTATATGTTGTCATTAATGTTTGTCACTGTCACTCTGACTGTCTATGTAACTCTAGCAACGTGAGATTTGTTCACTCCACCATTAGCAATAGTGCTCTTGCAGGCTGCCTTAGTGGCTCAATGGTGCTTTTCTATCAGTTGACTTCGGAGAAGTTTTCTTAGCACCAGCCATAGCTAACAAGAATATTGACGTTTCGTCATAAAACTTCAAAAATTTTCGTTTTCTCCAGATAATGTTTTAAGAAATTGATTTGACAACAATCATTCAACGATCTGAATGGTTATCCAAGGTTTGTTTTTTACTGGCTGCAGTGAATTTCTTTGTTCTTGTATCCTCTTGACAAGTTGGCCTAATTTCCCCAAAACTCAAAATTGCCCTCAGATTTCAGTTGTTCACTTTCAATGTGTGCTTTTGGCAATGCAAAAATTTTTCGAAGTGAAAGTGGGTGTACATCACTCTCATACATTATATATACCAAAATTTAGGGCAATCTGATGTCTAGTTTGCTAATATATACTGGAGAGTATGAGGCTTTGGACCCAGAGGAAATTAAGGAACCACAATTCTCTATCGTTATATACATACTAGCTACTCTATCCTAAGTTTCTTGGCTGGGAAGATCTAGTTTTGGCAATGTGTTTACATTTGATGAAGTACACAAAAATGTGCATTGACCTTTAATTGTGATGCCAAACATTATCAGAGGTTCTTTTGACAATAATTTCATCACAACTGGTGCATAACTACTAGATAAAACTTCATGGTCAGCCA